CACACGAGAGGGCTGGGGATTTCATGGAGTTTGCACGCTTAAGGGGAGGGGGGGGGGGTTTACACCTGAAGGCTATCTCGCTTATTACAGGACCGAATTTTACCAATTTTCACACATATAACAAGCATAGTAAGGAGTCTGTAAATCCGCAATCAAATTTGAGAAAAAGTTTCGTTTCCATGGATACGGCGGCCATATTGGATTTTGTTGACATGTTTTACGTAATGAATACCGTGCTTATTGCTCTTGGAAATTGAATATTTTTTTGCATGCGCGTTTACAAGCATTAGATTAAAAAATTTGTTGGTTGTTTTTTTCTTAAACGAATTAGAAAATTTTTAATGAATTTTTTCCTGAGGTAGCATTCAAGTTTTCTTTAAAAAATCCGTAAAAATTCACACTCCAGACACCACCAACAAAAATCTATTCATATATAAAAAATTCAACAGACAAGTTTTTAGTATTATATCTTCTCTTCATTCTGTAAAAATTTCATGAAGATTGGATAAAAAATGGTGGAGTTATTCAAAAAAGTATTGAGAAAAGTCGCGTTTTGAGAAAACGGCCGATAAAGAAAAATAAAATACTGCCTTTATGGGGAAATGACGGTGACAAACATGCCCAGTATGGGAAAAAATACGGTTTTTGGGGGTTCTTATGTGATGAAATAGTTGTAGGAGAGGCTGAGGAAGCTAAAAATGCCTACAGCTCAAATTCCATAATTTTGAGCCGAATTTTGACTTTGGGGGTGTAGCCCCCCCCTCCCCCCTTAACTTCACACGTACTAAGATGGAGGCAGCCGCCAGGAGCCTATCTGCCTGTTTCGCAAAGGAAGGCATTTTCACACAAATTTTCAAAGTACTAAACTAAAGGTTTGTTTACCTTGTATTATTATCAGCCTTTCATCATTTTTGCATATACCTTCACCTTTTATACGGTGTTGTATTTGAAGCTATTATGTGGCGATTGGCTGGTGATTTTCTTATATTTGAAGTTTGTTCACATTTGAACATTCTATGTTTATATTTTTTAGGCTACAACAGGGCTCTTGAAGTTGCAAGGTGTAATTTGGAGTTACTGTGTTACATTTGAAGTTACAATGTGGCATATTTTGAAAACACCAGACGTGCATTTGATAAAAAAAATAATGTAATGTAAGCTGAATAAGTGTAGTGAAGTCGCTGCTATGACGTATGATAGATAAAACAAAAATAATGAAAGCGTACTCTTGGTTCACATTGCACAAATTTCTTGAGGTGCCATTCAGATTCGTCCACAAAACTTTGAGTGACGACATTGCTGATATCTTCTTGATCCTCTTCCAAGTCGACCTCATTTTCTTGGTGGTTGGATGTGATGAGTAGAGACAAGTCCTAAATGGAAGGGAACACAGGCAGGAGGCTGTAAGACCTAATTAACTGGGAATTTAAATATTCAAGATGTTCTTAATGAAATTCAGTACGATGTGACATCAATCGGAAAAAAGTCAATGTTTTCTTTAAAATAAATATTTAAAAATTGTCTGTGTATTCTTGTACCGTCTTGTATTCATTGTAGAACGATAGCTAAAGTTTCAGACACAATAAAACAAAACATTCCCACGACTATGTGTCAATGTACCGCACCACAAACGCTCTGTGGGCGTATGTGTCGTGTGTAAGTGAGGGTGTTTGTGTGTGTATGTGTGTGTGTGAGTGTATGTGTGTGTGTGTGTGTGTGTGTGTGTGTGTGTATGCGTGCGCGCGTGCGTGTATGCGTGCGTGTGTGTGTATGAGAGAGGGAGAGAGAGAGAGAGAGAGAGAGAGAGAGAGA